TCTTCCTCCGTCAACAGTCAGGTAACTGAGGTTAGTCCAGTCCAAGATATAATCAGCAAATTTTTGTTTCAAATCATTGAATATATCTTCTCCGGTAACAGTGTCATAAAAGCCATCTCTTGTGTTATGTTTATGTCTTCATCCACACCTCTAATAAACACAAGCAGTTGAGAAGTGGAACAGCTGTCCAGCGACTCATCCATTGCTATTGAAAAATTGCGAAACTTGCTTGCAATTTTCGCTATTTGAGTCACAGTGTTTTCACCAATGTCTGCAACACGGTGGGCAACGGTAGTTGCACCGAAAGCTACATTTTCAAATTGTTTTGCATTTTCTGGGCAAAGTTCCGAGGACAAAAAGATCTCCGCGGGCCGGATGAGACCCCTGCCCTTTAGTAACATATTTCTGTGAAAAGACGGTATTATTTGACATGCATTTGTTTATATAATAATAATGAATGGTTTAGATCACTGAATCGCTCATACACATCTTTACTGGTTATTGACTACAAAAATAATATTCACAGAGTTTTACCTGTTTCTGACAGTTAAAAAACAAATATAGTTTTTTTTTCAATTCCTGAATTTCGGTTATTCCTCTTTTTTGGAGGCAGTTTTACTCTTATCCACAGTATTTTTCTATTGTTTTAACTAAATCTACACGAGATTTTTCTGTATTTGTTCGTTAATTAAGTACTTCTGTACGTGCTCATCATCTTGGCTCATACAAACGTTGTTTGAAGTTGTGTGAGAATGTTTTTGCTATGGAATTTTCCTGCCTCTCTCCCCCCCCCCCCACCCCTAAAATCCACCTAAAAATGTGTGCATCTGTACGAGATACCTTTAGAAAATGTTCTAGATCAGCTGACAGGCCTGCAGAGTTTCTTTTTTGCCCGCCCCCCCCCCCCCCACCCGAAAAACTTTTACCTTCCCCCGAACGAAATGAAATTTATATAATTTATATAGAAAATATATACTTTTAACAGTGTCCGCCCCCCCCCCCCCGAAGAAAGTCTACCGCCCCCCCCCCCCCCCCCCCCGAAAATTTCAAGTGCCCCCCCCCCCCCGGAGAAAAAAGTCTAGAAGAAACACTGCAGGCCTGCACTTCCTGCTAGTACTGAAATATCAATGATAAGCAAAATCGTATTCCACGAATTATGTCCCTAGACAGACATTTAAGTAAACAATTATGTCCCTAGACAGACATTTAAGTAAACAATTATGTCCCTAGACAGACATTTAAGTAAACAATTATGTCCCTAGACAGACATTTAAGTAAACAATTATGTCCCTAGACAGACATTTAAGTAAACAATTATGTCCCTAGACAGACAATTAAGTAAACAATTATGTCCCTAGACAGACATTTAAGTAAACAATTATGTCCCTAGACAGACATTTAAGTAAACAATTATGTCCCTAGACAGACATTTAAGTAAACAATTATGTCCCTAGACAGACATTTAAGTAAACAATTATGTCCCTAGACAGACAAGACTGATCTTAAACACGAAAATATTAGACCTCCGGTATAAAAGATGGATGTCTGAATTGTATAAAAGATGGATGTCTGAATTGTATAAAAGATGGATGTCTGAATTGTATAAAAGATGGATGTCTGAATTGTATAAAAGATGGATGTCTGAATTGTATCAAAGATGGATGTCTGAATTGTATCAAAGATGGATGTCTGAATTGTATAAAAGATGGATGTCTGAATTGTATAAAAGATGGATGTCTGAATTGTATAAAAGATGGATGTCAGAATTGTATAAAAGATGGATGTCTGAATTGTATAAAAGATGGATGTCTGAATTGTATAAAAGATGGATGTCTGAATTGTATAAAAGATGGATGTCTGAATTGTATAAAAGATGGATGTCTGAATTGTATAAAAGATGGATGTCTGAATTGTATAAAAGATGGATGTATGAATTGTATAAAAGATGGATGTCTGAATTGTATAAAAGATGGATGTCTGAATTGTATAAAAGATGGATGTCTGAATTGTATAAAAGATGGATGTCTGAATTGTATAAAAGATGGATGTCTGAATTGTATAAAAGATATAAAAGATGGATGTCTGAATTGTATAAAAGATGGATGTCTGAATTGTATAAAAGATGGATGTCTGAATTGTATAAAAGATGGATGTCTGAATTGTATAAAAGATGGATGTCTGAATTGTATAAAAGATGGATGTCTGAATTGTATAAAAGATGGATGTCTGAATTGTATAAAAGATGGATGTCTGAATTGTATAAAAGATGGATGTCTGAATTGTATAAAAGATGGATGTCTGAATTGTATAAAAGATGGATGTCTGAATTGTATAAAAGATGGATGTCTGAATTGTATAAAAGATGGATGTCTGAATTGTATAAAAGATGGATGTCTGAATTGTATAAAAGATGGATGTCTGAATTGTATAAAAGATGGATGTCTGAATTGTATAAAAGATGGATGTCTGAATTGTATAAAAGATGGATGTCTGAATTGTATAAAAGATGGATGTCTGAATTGTATAAAAGATGGATGTCTGAATTGTATAAAAGATGGATGTCTGAATTGTATAAAAGATGGATGTCTGAATTGTATAAAAGATGGATGTCTGAATTGTATAAAAGATGGATGTCTGAATTGTATAAAAGATGGATGTCTGAATTGTATAAAAGATGGATGTCTGAATTGTATAAAAGATGGATGTCTGAATTGTATAAAAGATGGATGTCTGAATTGTATAAAAGATGGATGTCTGAATTGAGCCTGACAACTCAAACAAAGGCTACACTTGTAATCAGAGCGATGTGTGGGGGTTGACTGTCTATATCCAGCAAGAACACACGATGTCTGGGGGGGGGGTTGACTGTCTATATCCTGCAAGAACACACGATGTGTGGGGGGGTTGACTGTCTATATCCAGCAAGAACACACGATGTGTGTGGGGGGGGGTTGACTGTCTATATCCAGCAAGAACACACGATGTGTGGGGGGTTGACTGTCTATATCCAGCAAGAACACACGATGTGTGGGGGGGTTGACTGTCTATATCCAGCAAGAACACACGATGTGTGGGGGGTTGACTGTCTATATCCAGCAAGAACACACGATGTGTGGGGGGTTGACTGTCTATATCCAGCAAGAACACACGATGTGTGGGGGTTGACTTCTATATCCAGCAAGAACACTCGATGTGTGGGGGGTTGACTGTCTATATCCAGCAAGAACACACGATGTGTGGGGGGTTGACTGTCTATATCCAGCAAGAACACACGATGTGTGGGGGGTTGACTGTCTATATCCAGCAAGAACACACGATGTGTGGGGGGTTGACTGTCTATATCCAGCAAGAACACACGATGTGTGGGGGGTTGACTGTCTATATCCAGCAAGAACACACGATGTGTGGGGGGTTGACTGTCTATATCCAGCAAGAACACACGATGTGTGGGGGGGGGGGGGGGGGTTGACTGTCTATATCCAGCAAGAACACACGATGTGTGGGGGGTTGACTGTCTATATCCAGCAAGAACACACGATGTGTGGGGGGGTTGACTGTCTATATCCAGCAAGAACACACGATGTGTGGGGGGTTGACTGTCTATATCCAGCAAGAACACACGATGTGTGGGGGGTTGACTGTCTATATCCAGCAAGAACACACGATGTGTGGGGGGTTGACTGTCTATATCCAGCAAGAACACACGATGTGTGGGGGGTTGACTGTCTATATCCAGCAAGAACACACGATGTGTGGGGGGTTGACTGTCTATATCCAGCAAGAACACACGATGTGTGGGGGGTTGACTGTCTATATCCAGCAAGAACACACGATGTGTGGGGGGGTTGACTGTCTATATCCAGCAAGAACACACGATGTGTGGGGGGTTGACTGTCTATATCCAGCAAGAACACACGATGTGTGGGGGGTTGACTGTCTATATCCAGCAAGAACACACGATGTGTGGGGGTTGACTGTCTATATCCAGCAAGAACACACGATGTGTGGGGGGGGGTTGACTGTCTATATCCAGCAAGAACACACGATGTGTGGGGGGTTGACTGTCTATATCCAGCAAGAACACACGATGTGTGGGGGGTTGACTGTCTATATCCAGCAAGAACACACGATGTGTGGGGGGTTGACTGTCTATATCCAGCAAGAACACACGATGTGTGGGGGGTTGACTGTCTATATCCAGCAAGAACACACGATGTGTGGGGGGGGGGGGGGGTTGACTGTCTATATCCAGCAAGAACACACGATGTGTGGGGGGTTGACTGTCTATATCCAGCAAGAACACACGATGTGTGGGGGGTTGACTGTCTATATCCAGCAAGAACACACGATGTGTGGGGGGGGGGGGGGGGTTGACTGTCTATATCCAGCAAGAAGAACACAAGCCGTTGAAGTGCGGGCGTTAACATGGATTAACATTGTGACAAAGAGCGCCTCGCTTCGTGCCTATCGAACAGCTAGGCTCTGAAAATTATTAGTAAGCCAAGAATTGTACACATTAAAAAGGCGATATTTTGGCTGCGTAACGTGAAACTTTTTTGTTGTTTCCAAACTTGTTCTAAATGATATTTGATGTAACGTGACACTTTTTGTTGTTGCCAAACTTGTTTTAAATGATATTTGATGTAACGTGACACTTTTTTGTTGTTTCCAAACTTGTTCTAAATGATATTTAATTATCTCCGAAACAAGGCGCCACTATCCTTAAAATGGTCGTTGGAGAAGAGGCGGCTCCCCCTGCTCCCCACCTGCGTATGCTATTTTAAGTGCGCCCCCTCCTCCGCCGTAGAAAAAAGTCTGAAAGAAACACTGAGAAGTTCCGCTCTATTATTTCAAGCTTGCTTATCACAATTTTTCACTTGAGGCGCCAGAAAAAGCGGAGTAACTCAAGGGAATTTACTTTGAGAATAAAAAATCTGTGGCTCGCGAAGTTGTCCCGCCTTACGAAAGTAGGATAGGTGTGGTAAAGCTCTAAGCACATGTGTGCGACTGTCATGCTTGGGAGCGGTCGAACACTAACAGTAGACGGACTCGAGTCAAACGGAATCCGCGTACAGCTGTGTGCAGTTATGACGGTCGAACACTAACAGTAGACGGACTCGAGTCAAACGGAATCCGCGTACAGCTGTGTGCAGTTATGAAAAGAATTATGTCTCACACTTTCAATATGAGATTTAAGTTTCATTACTAGCGCTCTTGGAAGAGAATGAAATGTTAAATGTAACCTTCTTATCGGATTAGCAGAGCCGTCATCTGTCGCCAGTCGGACTGTGCAGATATTCAGGATGTGTATAGTGTATGCAGTAGAGTTGTGTTGAAAATATTTACAGAGCCACAGCACTGGGCAGGTAGAAATTTTACTTGTTTAGTTTTTTGATTGCACTCGTAGAGGGCTGTTGAATTGCGCATCAAGAGTGTTCTTAATGTGTACCTGTTTCTATTGTTCTAAACCTAGCTTTGGTCTATCTCTTAATACCTTCTGCCTTATTGTAGATCTTAATCTTTATATCTTTTGCTTTATTGTATATCTTAATACCTTTTGCTTTAATGCATATCTTTATACCTTCTACCTTATTGTATATCAATAATTTCTGCTGTGTAAAATAACGTCTATAGTGCTGTATCTAGCGTTAAATCTCATATTGTTCACATACACCACCGTCCATAACGTCTATAGTGCTGTATCTAACGTTAAATCTCATGTTGTTCAGATACACCGTCCATAACGTCTATAGTGCTGTATCTAGCGTTAAATCTCATGTTGTTCAGATACACCACCGTCCATAACGTCTATAGTGCTGTATCTAGCGTTAAATCTCATGTTGTTCAGATACACCACCGTCCATAACGTCTATAGTGCTGTATCTAGCGTTAAATCTCATGTTGTTCCAATACACCGTCCATAACGTCTATAGTGCTGTATCTAGCGTTAAATCTCATGTTGTTCCAATACACCGTCCATAACGTCTATAGTGCTGTATCTAGCGTTAAATCTCCAGTTGTTCAGATACACCACCGTCCATAACGTCTATAGTGCTGTATCTAGCGTTAAATCTCATGTTGTTCAGATACACCACCGTCCATAACGTCTATAGTGCTGTATCTAGCGTTAAATCTCCAGTTGTTCAGATACACCACCGTCCATAACGTCTATAGTGCTGTATCTAGCGTTAAATCTCATGTTGTTCAGATACACCGTCCAAAACGTCTATAGTGCTGTATCTAGCGTTAAATCTCCAGTTGTTCAGATACACCACCGTCCATAACGTCTATAGTGCTGTATCTAGCGTTAAATCTCCAGTTGTTCAGATACACCACCGTCCATAACGTCTATAGTGCTGTATCTAGCGTTAAATCTCATGTTGTTCAGATACACCACCGTCCATAACGTCTATAGTGCTGTATCTAGCGTTAAATCTCATGTTGTTCCAATACACCGTCCATAACGTCTATAGTGCTGTATCTAGCGTTAAATCTCATGTTCACATACACCGTCCATAACGTCTATAGTGCTGTATCTAGCGTTAAATCTCATGTTGTTCAGATACACCTCCGTCAACATGTTGACTAAGATTGATCGCTGTGGGACGTCCAGATCTGCGTGTGTACCTATTGACCGCTTGACATAGCCAAATTTCTTTTCTCATGTTAGATGTTATTATTCGTGCACTTTAAATAGCTGCAATGTTGCATAGAACTGCCCTACTTAAGTAGCAATCAGCTTTTTTTTTCAAATCTTTCTTACGGTGCTAAAGGCTAAAGAGAGAAAGGATCCGGGTGGTGTAGGGGCAATAAAGGGAAGCCAAACAAAGACACATTGCTGGTATACTTAGATATATGCGTCATTGGAGTTTTTCATTGACCAACTACAGGTATTGACTACAGGTAGTTAGAGTTTTGGTTGTATTAGCTACAGGTAGTTAGAGTTTTGGTTGTATTTAACTACAGGTAGTTATAGTTTTGGTTGTATTGGCTACAGGTAGTTAGAGTTTTGGTTGTATTAGCTACAGGTAGTTAGAGTTTTGGTAGTATTGACTACAGGTAGTTAGAGTTTTGGTTGTATTTAACTACAGGTAGTTATAGTTTTGGGTTGTATTTAACTGCAGGTTGTTATAGTTTTGGTTGTTTTAACTACAGGTAGTTATAGTTTTGGTTGTATTTAACTACAGGTAGTTAGAGTTTTGGTTGTATTGACTACAGGTAGTTATAGTTTTGGTTGTATTTAACTACAGGTAGTTATAGTTTTGGTTGTATTTAACTACAGGTAGTTATAGTTTTAGTTGTATTAATTACAGTTAGTTAGAATTTTGGTTGTTTTGGCTACATTTGAAGTGAATAGAGATCCAAAAAGGGATAATGACAGCCACATTTGAGCTAAAAGCTATTTGCTATAATAAATGTTGAACTAACTGGAAATTCTGTAGGTTATTTTATATTTCTAAATGCCGTCCCCTATAGTGTTATATAAAAATACGAGCCGACCCGCAGCGTATCATACGCTGCTATTTAGTTATTTTATTTTCTACTTTTCAGTAATTCATCATTTGTGAATTCGACAGTACCAATGCTGCCACTGAATATATTTGCTTTAAAACACTATCAGTAGCTCGTTAAGGACGATAACCCCCCTCTCCTTTCCCCAAACCCCTACCCCCCTCCCTGAAAGCAGCCTCCTCTTAGTTACTTCCCCTAAGTTTAAAATAATTTCAAACTAAATTATCTGCTCCTACTAACAGCCGTCACTAAACCCGGCTCTACGATTGTAAACATTTAGCGTGAACCACAGCTCACCAGACCATGTAGGAGTGGGGGTGGCAGGGAGCGCGCTTACAGCTTGTTTTCTAACGTCTTCAAGAAGAGAATTATGTATACGAGCCGACCCGCTGCGTATCATACGCCGCTATTTAGTTGTTTTTTTTCTACTTTTCAGTAATTTATAATTTGTGTATTCGACAGTACCAATGCTGCCAATGAAAATATTTGCTTAAAAACACTAAACCCCCCTTCCCCCCCCCCCCCCCCCCCACGTGAAAGCAGCCTCCTCTTAGTTACCTCCTCTAAGTTTAAAATCGTTTCAAACTAAATTATCTGCCCCTAATAGCCGTCACCAAGCCCGCCTCTATGATTGTAAAATGTAAACAGCGTGACCACAGCTCACCAGACAATGTAGGGGTGGGGTGGGGGTGGTAGTGATAGCGATAGAGAGGAAGAGAGGGGACTGCAAGGAGGCGCTTGCAGCTTGTTTTCTAACGGCTCCCAGAAGAGAATTATATATATAGATAGATTCGAGAAATTTTAGGTTAGATCATTCCCGCTTTATTTATTACATAAACTTTTAAAAATAGAATAGAATCTCGTAGAAAGAGAATGAGCTTTTTGCCGACTCGACCACGCCTCCAACACAATTAAGGATACGTGTCAACTGGTTATGCGCCATAGAGACCATTGAATCCGATTTCAGCCTGTTTTTCATTTTGGATTTGCTTCCATAGCCTTTGTCCAACCAACAATAAGCTACAAGGCAGCAGTTGTTTGATTTTGGAGTTGTCTCTCCTAGAAGAGTGGCTGTCCCCAGCTAACGAGCCTCATCTGCCCGAGGGTTCGAACTCGAGACTTTTCGGTTTAGCAACCATGAGCTTTACCGTCTCGACCACGCCGACCCCAATGGCGCACCAATTGAATGACAAACAATATCTGTATAAAAGTGCGGAATATTAGTACTTTATAAATTCTTTTTTTTTTTGAGAAATGGGAAATAGCATATATTACTACTTTCGGTCAACGTAAATTACTCAAAATTTGAAAAAGGTAGAGAATCAGATCTTTTACTTATAGACGAAATTTCGTTTATATATCTTAAACAGTTCTCAAGTTATAGGCTTTTGAATAATTGAAAGTAGAATAAGTTCCACCAATTTGATATGAAATTTCATCAACCTAGCTGAATCGATACTCAAGTTATCGTGTTCACAGACATACACACACGCACGCACCACGAACACACACACACACAAATAAGTCCCCTATACTCCGTATATGATGAAGTACTGAGGTGTAAAACGGTGAAAAATGTCAAAATTTCATGTGATTTTTGTGCACAATTACAATACTTCCTCTAAACTCCTTGTAAGAGAAAGTAAAAAGCGCATTTGATGGTAGAAATGGAGATAATTTTAACATGCTCTGTCTTTCTCCCTCTCTGTTTCTCTCCATCTCCATCTCTCTCTCTCCATCTCTTTCTCCTTCTCTCTCTCCATCTCCCTCTCTCTTTCTCCATCTCACTCTCCATTTCTCTCTCCATCTCTCTCTCTCCATCTCTCTCTCCATCTCTCTCTCCATCTCTCTCTCCATCTCTCTTTCTCCATCTCTCTCTCCAACTTTATCTCTCTCCATCTCTCTCCATCTCTCTCCATCTCTCTCCATCTCTCTCCCCATCTCTCTCTCCATCTCTCTCTCATCTCTCTCTCCATCTCTCTGTCCATCTCTCTCTCCATCTCCCCATCTCTCTTTCCATCTCTCTCCATCTCCCCATCTCTCTCTCCATCTCTCTCCATCTCTCCCCATCTCTCTCTCCATCTCTCTTTCCATCTCTCTCTCCATCTCTCCATCTCTCTCTCCATCAACCTCCATCTCTCTCCATCTCTCTCTTCATCTCTCTCTCAATCTCTCTCTCCATCTCTCTTTCCATCTCTCTTTCCATCTCTCTCTCCATCTCCCCATCTCTCTCCATCTCTCTCTCCATCTCTCTTTCCATCTCTCTTTCCATCACTCTCTCCATCTCCCCATCTCTCTCTCCATCTCTCTCCATCTCTCCCCATCTCTCTCTCCATCTCTCTCTCCATCTCTCTCTCTCCATCTCTCTTTCCATCTCTCTCTCTCTCCATCTCTCTCTCATCTCTCTCCATCTCTCCATCTCTCTCTCCATCTCTCTCCATCTCTCTCCATCTCTCTTTCCATCCCTCTCCATCTCTCTCTGCATCTCTCTCTCTCCATCTCTCTCCATCTCTCTCCATCTCTCTCCATCTCTCTCCATCTCTCTCTCAATCTCTCGCCATCTCTCTCTCCATCTCTCTCTCCATCTCTCTATCCATCTCTCTGTGAATCTCTCTCCATCCCTCTCTCAATCTCTCCATCTCTCTCTATCTCTCTCTCCATCTCTCTCTTTCCATCTCTCTCTCCATCTCTCTCTCCATCTCTCCCCATCTCCCCATCTCTCTCTCCATCTCTCTGCATCTCTCTCTATCCATCTCTCTCTCCATCTCTCTCCATCTCTCTATCCATCTCTCTGTCAATCTCTCTCCATCTCTCTCCATATCTTTCTCCATCTCTTCCCATCTCTCTCTTCATC